AACGATGCGAGCAACAGAATGGCTTTGAAACGTCATACACGGAATATTACCTTGGGTGAGCTAGGAAGTATGGGAATGACTAGCGCTAAAAACTCTTTATTTCGCATCAGAGGAAATATCTCAAATTACCACTTTGCTGATCACATACACATCATGATAGATGCCAAAGATGATAACGGAAGGCAACGCGTTCTTGGTGGTGATATATGGAAACCAATGATGTTAAATCCAAATCTCAAATCCAGTGTAATGGGCAATGTAGTTGACTATGACAACGGTACATACAGTATATACTTCTTCGCTGCATGGAGTGGGGAAGCGTTCATTGATATTCAGCTTGTTCATACTCGCGATGCCGCACTGTACATTGAGGACGTCTTCAGAAAAACGGAAAAAATGACGTGGCAAGGTGTCTACAGCAGAGGTGGCTTAGAAGAGACGAGTGTGTGTCACCTGCGTCGTGAGGGGACGTGGGCAAATCAATGTGAACACATGAGAAATCTACATTTTGGTAGAACGCTCATTTTGTGTGAAAAACCAGTGAATCTGACATGTGGGGACTTAAAATTTTTTCATACAGCAAGTGTATCATTGGACAATAAGCAACATCTGGAAGACATGTTTAACAGGTATTTACATATGCTAGCAATATAACATACCGTCTAATGAGATATTATTAATTGTTGTGTGTTGCTGTCAATTTATCTGTATATAAACTGAAAATTTTTAGTTCATATAACTTTAATTGCTCCTAAAATCATTTGGTTTTTAGAATTCAATCTATTGAAAATCTTAATAGCTTGTTATGAAATCCTCCATTAAGATGGCTAAATCAGATTTATCCGACTATTCATCATTTTTTCTAGGGTCATATCAGTGGTCATATGGAAAGCACTATAGTTCTGGTCTTGGTTTAACTTCGTAAATCTTGCAACAAATTATTGGAGTGGATGCTTATATATATTATTATTATTTGTATTTAATATTTATTGCACCAGGTGTGTTGCAATCAATTTATTTGTATATAAACTGAAAATTGTTAGTTTATATAACTCCATGAAATCCTCCATGAAGATAGCTAAATCAGATTTATCCGAATATTCATCATTTTTTCTAGGGCCATATCAGTGGTGTGTTTGACAAAATATTATTCTAATTGTGGCATAAATTCATACTTGGCAGGTGTAATAAACTTAACTATGATGCCACTGCCACACGATTAATCACAGATAAGTTCTTGCCTATTGACTTGTGTAGAGCTCGGGCTTCTAACAGACAACTGAACAACTATTTGATTAGGACTCAGGATGTTCAGGATGAAATATTTCAGGTTACAAATGCAGAGCAGGATGCGCTTACCCATGTTTTTGTGATTTTGTGTTTTTGTGTTCTTGAACTGTAAATCCTGTCAATAATGTTGTTTTTATAATCATGATCATATTAATCCACTCGGATATTTACTTAGAAACCGAGGCAAACGACTTTACTTGATTTGATTTGAACTTGAGATGAGAAGTCTTTAGAGCAGTTCCTCTTTCAAGAATATTGACCTCCTTCACTTACATTTCATTATAAACTCCACGCGAAAATATAAGTGCAAGACAAAATGGATAATTGGGCTTCATTGTAACCTTAATTTTGCTTTGTACAACTTTCAGCTGATTTCTAATTTCAACTATTAATCAACAGGTCATATCAGAAGATTAACGGCAACCCAAGTAATTTGATCATACATAGTGAGTAGATTACTATACATCTCTTTAGTTTGTCACTTTAGTTTGCGCCGTTAAAATTACATTTTGATGGGGCTCTTCTATTAGGTTGACACGCCATTCCCGACAGTCATGTAAACAAGTGTGGTGTTTAAATTATTCTATAAAACATGGTGAACTGAAAAAACTGTGAAATACATATATATATTTCTACTTACTTCATGTGGTGGTTTTATACAAGTATTGAATTGTACTTATCCACAGTTTACATCTTTTAAACATAGATGGGTTACCCAATTAATCACTAATCTGCGTGGTAATTTTGTAGTTTATTAATCGTATTGTTCAGAAACCGTGGGGATTTAACGATATACATGTGAACAAAAACTGTAGTGCTACTTGTACGCTATCATTTATATGTAATGTCGAGGGAAGTAACACAATCATAACTGTTATCATAACTGGTATCATGTTTTTTTCGTGCATGTGAGTTTTTCTTTTGTTTTTTAATCATGCACATACTCACAATGGTGTGCTCTTTATCAACAGACTCATCGTTCGAACTACAATCTTTATTAAATAAAATTCCAATATGCAGTGACGGACTATATATGGATGAATTCAAGCCTACTGGTTTCTGGAACAACAACACTTGGCATTCGTTGGTTTGTCAAACTACTCGTTTTAACAGAAAGTCTAGTAGAATATGTTTGAATGAATATAGTGAGTTATATTTTCTTGGTGACTCAACATCAAGGCAGTGGTTTATAGAGGTATATCAATTACTTGGTATTCCAAGCGATAATGTCACGTGGGATGAACATTATAAAAATACTCCGAAAAAAATCCAAAAATTCCTTTACAAGAAGACGCGGGGAAAAGCTGTCATCGACGGTATGACTCTGTTCTTTTTATTCCACCCGTTGGCCTCAACTAAACAAAAGTTATCACTAGAACATTTTCCATTAGAATACGAGATTTTGGAAAATATTAAAACATGTAACACTATAATAGTACTTGGCACATGGGCTCATTACACACATTGGACTGTGACTGCATTTGATGAAAGACTGCGATATATTAAACAACACTTGTATGAATATAAAAAGAGATGTCCAGGTTCAAAGATTATTATTCGTGGTTCGCATGCGCGGAACTGATGAA